TAATTTGTAACTTTTCGGTAGCAATGAAAGCCGTATACTACGCATCAGATACAACAAAAATTTAAAAAAGAGACCAGCGAGTAAATAGAGAAAATTAATTAAATAAAAGAAATAGGTAAGAATTATCCATTAAAAAGAGTAGATAAGAAGAATTACCTATTACGAATTGATTACTGAACCCAAAATCAGCTATTTTGATATTCATATCAGAATCGAGCAGTAAATTCTCTGCCTAAAATACTTTTTTTGCAGTCATGAAGAATCAACTAATTTCTGGAAATACTGCTATCAATATTTTAATTTTATGGGATAGTTAAACAGAATGGCTTGTAAACCAGTATAACTTTTTCCAGGAGCTCATTCATAATTGTGCCCGTTATGTCATTACATCAACAAATGAGATATTCAATATTCAAATTTTTGAAATTTTACTGTTGTAACGAAATGTTTTTTTCTCAGTTGCATTATACTATGATGGCAACCTAACAGAAGAAATTACCTTCAAATCCCTATGTATGATATTTTTTTGATGCAGATATTGTACAGCTGACACAATTTGTCGAAATTTAGCCCTTGCTTCCTTCTCTTTCATTCTACCATGAGCTACCAAATAATCGAATACCTAAAAACAATATGATAGGAAGCAGAGGGAAAAAAAGCGACCTGCACAAATCAGTAACTGAAAGCGTTGTATGGTAAACCAAAATCTTCATGTTAGATATGAAAAAGGAAGGAAAGTTCATGTCAAACATTTGTAGAATACAGTTAAGAACAGAAAACCTTACCTCGCCGCCACTTGCATATTCCATTACAAGGTACAGTGTATTTTCAGTTTCCATCACCTGGTAAAGTTTCACTGAAACATATTGTTATAAGCAGTATGGAAAAAAAAAAAATTTTGTTTTCTATCCAATTATTCCACTTTTCGCTGCTTAACAAAGAAAATACATTAGTATTTTCTTACCTAATTTTTTAAATCATTTTCTTTTTTTGAACATCAAACCTTGACTTAGCTTCAATTATTCCATCCCGCAATTCAAATTTCAGCATAACAAAATTTCTACTTATATAACGAAGTAAAATACAAATTTGAAATATTTTCTATAACATACCAATATTCGGATGATCCAACTGTTTCATTATTTTTACTTCCCGGAATAACTAAAAAACAATGATATATTAATCGCTAATAATAGGAATACTTCAACGAGTTAAATCGATTCCACTGAACTTTTGCAGATGGCAAAAACTGGGAATAAAACCACTTTCTTTTTTCGAATAATGAAGGAAATATGTGTAGCCAAACCTTATGTAGACTGCCTGGATTGAGAGCAGTTTTATCGATTATCTTAATCGCAACTTCGATACCTGTAGGAATGTGCTTGGCTAGTTTAACCTGCAAAAAGGTTTTTAATAAATTGGAAAAGAAATTCATTTTCAGGTAGTTCCAACAGGATTTAGAGCAGTTAATAGTTATTTCATATCCATTACGCGAAATTCATCAACTGCTGCAATTTTCATGAAAATCATGTATGTTACACATTTGATATGTGGGACAAAATAAATTGAAAGAACAAACTTTGGCAAAATTTCCCTTGCCAATCGTTTTGAGCAACTTATATTTTCCAATATGTGGGTCATCAGTGGTTCGCGATCTGCTTTGCACACGAGTTGCATTCAGATTCGAAGAACGATGACTTCCATGAAATCCACCACCAGTACCATGATGAGAGCTTGAACTGAACATTTTTTATCGTCATATGTTAGTAGCTTCCAACCGGTGGTCCATGAACCTCTCTTTTGAATTGTAATATTACTCTAAGTTCTGACTAATATAAAAATTATGAATAAAGTTTATTTCCAAATAAAGAGAATTCATTATTTTTAAAACTTGTGGTTCCTACTGCGAATAAAAAAGCCAAAGTCTCTCCAGTCAAGAAAAGGTTGGAACTACTATTATAGACGATTATTAGTGTGATGATCATTAATCTTGATAAGCAAACTTCATTCCTAAACGTTGTTGTTGTTCAGCTTGAAATCTTCCCGTATTGACCTTCTTAGGTTTTCGACTATTTCATGACTATTTACTGATTACAGAACTATTTGATGCCCCCCCCCCCCTTCCATACAACTACAACAACTTAGTAATGATATTGTATGACTGTGAGAAAATCACGACTTTAAAACTAAGTGCAAGGGTGATGCTAATAACCATGGCTTCTTACTTCAGAAAAAATTATGATGTTGCTATTACAGCTTAGCAAATGCGGAATAAGAGTAGCACCTTGGATGAGCTCCATGATGAGAGGATACTTGTGTACTAGGATGCGAACCATTGCCTCCAGCAGTGGCATGATTAGAATTAGAAGATGATGGTGCAGTCATTGGTGCATGTTGTACCGTGGTCGCCATTCGAGTATGTGGTTCTGATGGAAGGCGACAAAAAGCACTGGTCGGTACTTTGGTTGATGAATAAGATGTCTTCTGCAAAAATGTGACGATTGATCCTTTTTGTTAAAAGTGAACAGAATCCTAATTTGATAACAGTGAACCAACAACTTCATAATTAAAGTCGGTAACTTGACAGTGTACAGCAACTAACTCGACTATCTAAGCTATCACTATTATTTATCCATTACCCTTTTCACAAGACTGTCAAACTTGGCCATTTTAATTTCAGTACTTTTATGCCATATTCGAAGGAATAAGTGAACACAAGAAAAACAGGAAACACACATATGCACATACATAGGCTTGTTTCGGTATTTCACAGTTCAAAAGAAAAGAAAGAAGCTGATACGGTGGGTTGTTAAATCTACCAAAAACAAATGCAAGCACTTTGGAGCAAAAATCTCTTTAATCCACTTCTCCCATTCTTTCTTCCTTCAGCTTCGATATTAAGAGAAAGCAAGACGTGGTTATTAATGTAGATGCAAATTTAGATGCTTTTTAATTTCGATGTAACATTATTTGGGGTGGTGAGCTAATGAAAAAAAATCCGAGAAGAAAAGAGATGAGCTTCCATTCAGGATCCACTCTGGGAAAAAAAATAGTAACGTGGATGAATGAAAAAAGCATCCATTATTTCATAACGTGTGACGTTATTTTCTTGATGAAGTAATGAATGCCTTTTATGCAGGAATATGAAAACAGTGGAGGACATTGCTTAAAGCTCATCCTTTTCTTCCTCTTTTAAATCTCCTTCCCTTGTTATTCCACACCCTCTCCAAAAAAAAGTGACTTGAATAAGCAATCCAGCATAAGGCTGTAACATTCTCATCCATCTGCTTTAATCTTTTTAAAAAAAAAAAACAAGCCCCAATATTACAGTCAATTAGCCCGATCGATTTTTGGCGCAAATAAGGATAGAAACACTGTGACATTCTGCGATATGGAATTACCTGTTTTGTAACTGGTTGCATTTTTTCTTTTGGCGGCTCAGCAATCCAAACGTTTTCTGTAGGAAATGAGAGACCTTTTTGGAAATAAGAAACCCTTTTGTACACTACAGTGCATGGCAGTATAAAAAAAAAGACTCGACATATCTCTTGAACTACGTAAATCTTCAAAAATAACGCTACGTGTAATATTTGGATTCTTTAACTTGATTAAATTCCACAGAACGGAATAATACATACATTCTGTCCGTTGGTAGTGGATAGTATTGAAGCAGTGTCCTGATTTTTAATTTTTCGGAATGATTTCCGGACAGGCGGTATATTACTGTTTTTCCGAACTATATTCTTATTTACTGCTTCAGTGCTAGAGCACGAATTCACATACTCCTGAAATAAACCGGAAATGTGACAAATTATTCTAGATCTTGGGAAGCAGAATACGTCACGATATAATGAAAGGCGAAAAAACGTGAATTATATTAGGTCTTTTGTATCCTCCAGCTGCATAGGATAGTGAAATAAGATAGGAACAAATTTCCGGCACGGTGCACCTTAAAACCAGTACTGTTATTTGATTAGCGGTAAGGTATCCATGAATCAGCGGTATTATCCATCAGTCATATGTTACCTGAGATTAGAAAAGGTAACATTAACATTACTAGCTATCAATAAACTTAAGTACAACGGTTTTCACAAATGATTACTTCGTTTTCTACTGATATACTCATAGTGCCAAACATACTGTAGTACCACGAATAGTTATGCTAAGTTAATTTTGTCGACTAAATGAACAATTTCATTTACTAAATACAAATTACTATTTGTTGGGATTCATGAATCACAACTAATAATGTATCAAATTTTATGTACATTGTGACTGATATTAGGATATGCTTATTACAAAACCGATGATGAAATTATCAGGATATAACAACCGTAGTTTAACTCAAAATTAATGCAACAACCTTGCTCAAGCTACCACTTATCAAATCACAGAGCACCAATAACGAAAATAACGAATAAACAAGGCCTGCTGGTAACGTCAAGTAAAGACAAATCACATCAAACCACCGCTGACCAACACCAACACCATCTGATTTGAAAATCAGAGACGGAAATAGAAAGAAGCCGGATTTAACAACGGCTAGCTTTTGCAATTCAATTAATCCCAAAGCAACCATAATGATAAGGTTAAAAGCACCACCGGAAATGGTTCGGGGAAGTGTTATGTGTCTGGAGATCGTGATTGATATTGTTGACTAATGTTGCTCAAGTATATATGTCATATTTTTAACAATATTTTGAGAAAATTTCCCTGTATAAATTTAAAATTTTATATGAATTTAAGAAAAAAAGTGAAAAATTTATCCCTTACCCTTCTTCTCTCCCAATATCACAGTTTAAACTTTCGAATACGTGATCAAAGAGTCAATCAAATAACATTAATATTAAAGGAAGTTTAATTATTCATACGTAACATATAGATAAAAGTGTAACGATGTTAGGAATTGCATAAAATTTTTCAGCAATAGGTGGATTAAGAAATTCTTATTTTTTTTTTTTGCAAGAAACAACCAGTCGGTTAGGCCTATATTCTAGATCTGGCTTGGATGCTAGCCTTCATGTGAATGCCATAAGTTTAACAAGGATGTTACATACAAGTCTAAATGAAATATTAACACAATACAAGGAAGAAATTTTTCCCCGACAAACTTGAATGATGGATGGCTGGCAAAATCGAGTAGATAACCTCGTTCTAATTGAATGATTTCTGCGTGCATATGTATGTGTGTGTGTGTGCGTGTAGTGCATAGTGTGGTAACTCACACACACACACACACACGCACACACACACACGCACACATACACACACACACACACACACGCACACATACACACACACATACACACACACACACACACA